AAAAAAAAGGAAAAAAAAAAAAAGAAAAAGAAAAAAAAATACGCGCGATTTTACAATACACGCTGAAGAGGCTGATTTTCGTCCTCCTAACTCTGTCCCCGTTTCGCTTTCGCTCTCGCTTCTCGAATTGTCCTCGATTCAACTCCTCCGTAAATTTCAAAAGAAAGAAGATATTTTTTACACGATCACGACTCGACAATTTTTTTCCAATCCCTCTCTCACGTGTATTCTTTTTGTTATACGCAGACGTGTATCATCGAGAAATATTGTTCAAGAGATGGGAAAGAAAAGAGAAGAAGAAAGAAAAAGAAAAAATAAAAAAGGGAAAAAAAGAGAAAGAAAGTTGATAAAAGAGGATAAAAAATGAAATACTCGTCGATTCGCGGGGAGCGTCCAACTGTTAAGTGTCTTATTGTTCAGGCAAGCGGCTGGACGAAAGTAGATCATTTTTTTTCACATAGAAAACAAAAAAAACCATTGAGAAATCGATTGTAAAATACGTCCCTATGACCACGTGAGAAAAGAAGCACATCAAATTCTGTGAACTCTATCACAGATTTATCGAAAAATCGATTCAATTATTGATCGAGGAACACGGTTGACAGAGAAGAGAGGGCGTTTTGTAATATTTTTTAACAGAATCGTAGAAAAAATTCGAGAGGTACAAATACATACATATTATAATATGTAAATGATGTACGAGCAGAGACATCAGAGAGAAAGAGAGAGGGTTGATAATTAAAATAAGCTAACTAAATATGCAAACGTATGTGTAGCTGTAAAACAAGCTAGGAAAAGAAAAAAATGCAAAAAAAAAAGTATATTATATATATATTTAAAAAAAAAACACGTGTCGTATTGTAAACGTGAACGTTTGTAAAATTGAAATCGTGTCGGTGGACGATGATCTGTCACGCGTTCAACAATGTAAATACATTTGATCGCGGCGATTATTTTGTTTATATCTCGATCCTGAAACTCGATGTGTATTGAATTCAATATGCTATCTGTTGAACGACATTTTTGAATTCTTTCTGACAATTACAAAATTTTTAATTTGCAATGCCTGTAAAATTTATCAATTTTCATTAGAATAGATCATCAATTATCATTATCATTTGAAGTTTTTTTAATTTATTATAATTTTATATATATATTATATTATATTATATATATGCATTTCTATCAATTTGAATATAATTTATAAGATTTAGAAATTTTTAATAATCCAGAACTTCCAGTATAAATTTACTAAAAATTCATTAATCATTTAGATAATTCTACCGAACTGAATGTGAAAACAATGTACTGCTATAATATTTTTAATTGACAAGATTTAAAAATTTTTAAAGGTCCAAATTTTACAATTTTCTAAAAGAGAGTAACTATTGATGACTCGAAATTTATTGCTCATTATCCATTATACATGACTGTCCACGTAATTGTCACATTAAACAGTGATCTGGAATAACGTAATGCCACGTGGTTCCTCGTTTGCCAAATAAATGTAATATTACGTGTCGCTATAAATGAAATAATGTATACCGTATATATATATATTTAGCATAAATCCTCGGGAAGCTGTGTGATACTGCTTTAAATCCGTGGTTTATCACTGATAGTCATAAGCATATTATATATAACTACACGATGCGCAATTAATCGCTGGTCGATACACGTGAATTATTATATATTACGAGATTATTATACATATACATATACGAGACTTGCAGTGAATCGCTGGTCGATACAATCGAAACGCTGCATGTCCCGCCATATACAATGTTAAAGAAAAACAAATTCAACACTCTGTGATTCACAGCTCGTTGTGCGTGGAATTACGTGATTCTCAGATCATTGTTGATGAAAAGAAATAATAGAAAGAATATCTGTTCCACAGATAGCGTGTTAATTACAAATATATGACGCGTTTCTTCGCGATCGTCTGCAATCCAGATTTTCAATCTGTGAATGGTGACCCTGAGAAGATGGCAAAAATTTTTCAAGATTGAGATTTGTTTGATGAAAAAGAAAATTTTTTAACAAGATATAAATATATATCTTGTCTAATATGTAAAGAAGAAAATTTTTAAAAAATTAGAATGTTAAAAATTAGAATTTCTATTATTTTGATCTTTATGAAATATTATTCCTTAAAAAGATACTAAATTTTTCAAAAAAGTAAATTATAAAGCTGATCGAATAAATAGTAATGATAATTATTTTTTAAATTTGAAAAAAAAACGAATTATAAATTATTTTCTATTATTACAATAAAGGGTTACGATTCGAAAAAAGCAAAAAAAAAAACTGGCTCAAAAGTGACAAGATCAACGTCTAAATTTCTAAACGTCGCTATGCTCTCACGTTGTCGTTCATCTTCGTAAGTGCGAAAAATAACAGAATTTCCACGATACATCATGTCCACGATGAATATAAAAAATTTCCTCTAAAGGAATATTTGTATTACGAGTATACAAGAGTAAATTCATTAAAAAAAGGATCGTGGGCAAAGTGTAACTCGTGTAATTCTGTTAACTCAGTGTGTAAGTGTAGATGTTTTAGTGTGTGATCGAAGTGTAATCGATTGATCGCAGTATCGATATATCAATTGTTCCTGGTTTTTCGAGAAATACTGGGGAGATCATTTGTCACAATGTGACGAAAAACATGGAGGCATAATTTAAATACAGACTCATAAATACGTGTTTCTATTATTTAACTAAATAAAAATCATTTAATTTTAATTTAATTCTCTAATTCACAAAATTCATAAGTTTATTTTGTATCGAATACTAAATCTTTCAATCGAAAAAAAAAATGTATTATCCAAGATAAATACTTTAATTTTTTAAGATATTTCTTAAAAAAATACTAGCCAATGGGTCAAGTAAAAACTTATGCCTCCATACAGGGATATTCTCTGCGATATGCGTGCACTGATGTACAAAAAGCGAATTTTTTTTTTTATGCTCGACACGACAGTCCTAGTTACGTTGTTCGATGATACATCGCGAGATAGGAACAAATATCTTGAAAGAGGATGAAAATCTATCCAAAGGATTAGAAAAATCAGAAAGATAAAAGAAAGAAGCGAAACGATACATCGTAGAAAAATGGTTCGAATCTCGATGAGAAGAAAAGAGAGAAAAAGATATTTTCATCGAAAGCGATTCTGTCCAGCCATTGCCGACTACTGTTCAACACTGTAGAAGTATTCATAAATCATAAAAGAAGATAAAAAGATGAATGAAAACAGAGATATGAGGAAAAAGAGATAGAATTAGACAAACAAAAGAGAATGAGAATTGACAGAGTGTATGAATGAAACTATACATATATATATATTCGTATATAAATATATAATATATATACATATATGAGGTACACACACATACGCACACTTCACACGTACACACACATGCACAACTAATGCAACACAGGAAGACGAGAATTATCGTGACGAAGATACCACGATCCGGA